AAGAGTCACTCACTATTTCATAGAGAAATGATCAGTGATCCAACCATTTCAAAACAATCCCTTTGCACTGTTATCCTGTCCTCAATGCACATTGCTTTTTTGTTGTTGTTTTGATCACTACTTACTCTCCTTCAGAAATATAGTTAGTGCAGGGAAGAAAGGCAAACAGAACCTCAACAATGAGTCCTAAAATTGGGGTGAAGGTGAGAAAACAATGAGATTAAACAAAACCTTTGGCTTTCTTTGGGGCTGAAGCCATGTGAGGCCATGTGTCCTTTCTCCAGGTCCACACTTGTTCTTAAGCTTTACTGGGTTTAGAAATGACTACTCAACTAGTCACTGCTGAAGCAGGCCCAGGCAGCTACAGTTGGGCAAATGGTTATGATTCACATCTCCTGGGCCTTTAGCCTCCTTCAGGACTAAGGACAGCCTCAGAGCCCTGTATTCCATGTCAAATGGGATTACAGCTGACACAAGCCCACACAAAGAGGATGATCTGGATCAAGCCTCAAAAAACCCTCCAAGATCATGCATTAAAGTCTGATCTCCCCATTTTACAGAAGAACCTAAGGTTTGAGGAAGTTAAGAGACTTCCCCCAAATCCCACAGTGAGTTAATAGGTGCTAGGCCTCAGGTGTCCTAAATTCTCACTTGGCATGGTTCACAGGGCCAGGCTGCTTCCACATTCCAGTAGAATTATACTAATAAAGGGCATGGAAGAAGGGAAGGAAAAAGGATCCAAACTGGACAGGAACTAAGTCTAGTGATAACCACCAGTTTCCAGTATATAAAAATTACAACTTATTTTTGAAAAACGTCTGGTAGTTTTCTGAATTTTCTATAGGCAAGGCATGGACTTTAAAGTCAAACAGACATGGATTTAAATTCTGGCTCTTTGACTTACCAGTTGTGACTGTGAATTAATTATTTAAATTCTTTAAGCCCTGGGTTCCTCACTTATAAAATGGAAATTACACCTAGCTCATTAGTCACGGTGATGACTAAATGACAGAATCTGTGTAAACAAATCCCACTTGCGCAATAGCCTCCACAAGGTATGCACCATTTATATAAAGTTAAGAATGCTAAACACAGATTCAATTTGGAGGTCACCTTTGGAGGTGGAGGATGATGCAGTCAGGGAGGGATACGTGGGAGGAGCTTCAACTCTATTGTTTATGTTTTCTTATAGTCAGTGCTGGGTATATGGGTCTTTGCTCTTATTCAACATTTTTTAAATACATTTTTTTAAATTACATATAGAAAGAAATTAACAAATGAACAACTATTATTATAAATTCTATTAATCAAAAACTATGAATTCAGTTCTTACTCCAGGTTGTGCTGGGCACAACAGGGGACATTAAGGTGAGTAAGATGTAGTCCTGACAATCCAGATAAGAACCTTTGATATGGCAGCGGTTACAGCGCCCACCTTACAACTGTAAGAAGAGGCAGAATGTAATAAGTGACCTGAGGGGAAAAAAGGAAGAAAAGAGGCACCATAATAGTAGAGGAGAATTTCTAAGACTCCATCATAGAGGTGGCAACTGAAATGGGCATTAAACACTGAGTAGAATCTTAAGATGTAGAGAAAACAAAAGGATGTCTAGCAACCAATGACAGCATTGGCTAACACCAGGAGGGACACCTGCACGATTACACTGATCACGAGCAGAGACTAGGGTATGCAAAACGAGAGGAGCCTGGGAAATGGGAAATGGGAAAGCATGGACGGGTTAGCACAGAGGTATTCCCCATGCACTGTGAAAAGAACATCACATTTTCTATCTCTTGTAACTCTCAAGAGTCAATTTTCATGTAATCATACAGGGAACAGAAACTAGACTTCATGGTGAGTGGATGATAAAAAAGGAGATGGGGGGTACATGTGACTACTCTGAAGACTTTTGTGCCTGACACAAAAGCAGGCTAAAGATGGTAACTGAAGGGCATGGAAATATGAGGATGAATTTTTAGTCAGGGGAGACCTCAGCATATTTCTAGAAAAGGGGGAAAAAAAGAACTGGTAGAACAGAGAGGACTACAAATGCAAACCAGACAAAGAACAGCCTTTCCCTTCAGATCCATTCCAGAAAGAGCAAAAGGAACAAGGCCAAAAATGAAATGGCATTATCAGACCAGCAAAGGAGAAGGAGACCAAGTTGTTTTTCCTGGACTAACGAAATCCCAGCATTTTGGAAGGACTGCAGGTGACCACGCACACAAATGACAGATGTCATCTCCCAGACCACACCTCTTCCAGGCACTGTTACCTGGGGGCAGGAAATAAAACTTGAAAACCATTGTTTTGTGATTAGGCATTTAGTTGGGAGGTGGGTATATGAACAAAACCTTTTTTATAAATAAAAAAATAAATAAGATGACATGAAGAATGAAGTTCGCAATAAAATAAAAATTAAGACTATCTGGCCACATGATTTCACCACACCAAGATTTCAAACCAACCACTTTGTAAAAGAGTCTGGCAGTTTCCCAAAAAGTTAAATGTAGAATTAGTATGTGACCCAGTAATTCCACTTCTATATACCCAAGATAACTGAAAACATATGTCTGCATGGAAGCTTGTGCACAAATGTTCATAGCAGCATGATTTAAATGAGCCCAAACTGGAAACAACCCAAATGTCCATCAATTGATGAATATATAAATAAAATGTAATATACCCATATAATAGAATATAATTCAACTATAAAGAGGAATGAAGTGCTGACACATGCTACAACATAGATGAAACTTGAAAATTTTTTGCTAAGTGAAAAAACCCAGATGCAAAAGACCACATATTATGATTCCATTTATACAACATGTCCAGAATAGGAAAATCTATGGAGACATAAAGCAGATTGGTGATTGCCTAGAGGAGCAGAGAGCAAAGAGGAAAGAGCGGTGAGGGACTGCTAAAGGGAATAGTGCTCATTTGGGAGTAATGAAAATGTTTGGAATTAGGCAGTGGTGATGACTGCACGACTTTGTGAACATGCTACAAGCCACTGAACTTCACACTTTAAAAAAATAAAAAAGATTTCAAACTAGACCTTTCGATGACTGGGTAGGAGAAAACATACGGGTACCCATACACACACATTGCTGCTCTTCCCAAATATTGTTACATTGACATGTTGCCAGAATGACACTAAACCACAAAAGACCAGTCCACTCACACTGACGTGCTCAGAAGAAAAACAATGATAATTAATAACTAAAATTTACTGAGTATTTACTGTGTGTCAGATGCTCTACTAAAGCACTTGACATGGATTGGCTCATTTCATTTCTCACTGCAACCCTTCGAGGCACACACCAGTATCACTCTCATTTTACAGACAAGGAAATGAAGGCACAAGTTAAGTTTCATAATTTGTGCACAGTCACCCAGTTGGGATTTTAACCCAGGCAATCTGACTCGTGAGCACTATGCTATGCTCCTCCAATTGACTCTGTCTTCTTAAAGTTACTTGCAAAATTCACTGACTTAACAATGTAAAGTCAAGGCAGGGGAGGGCAGGAAAGGGCTAAGATTTTAAAACAACCAAAAATATTAATTCAAATAGCCATCCCAGACAGAAAACTGAAAAGACCCAAGGCTCTGAGGATGAGTGCTATATTTCATGCTACTATGAACTTGACAAATTGAATGTACAACCCAAGCACGGAGTTCTAGATCGCGAGGCACTCCTTTCAGGACTAGGGTTAGATTACTGGGTTTCTCCTTGGCCACGATGATCTAGTCAGCTAAGTGGGAAACCATCAGCAAGAGCAACAAGACAGTGTGTATTGTGTGTATGACTGTTTATATATATAAAACAAACATGACATATATCTTTACATATATGGGTGCTCACTAAACAGTGAGGGGTGGATGGTAAGTTCTAAATTACAGGAAAGTGATGAATAAGGTCACAGTAATCAAAGAAGACTGCTTGAAAGGGCCTTGAGGGCTAGCATTTAGGAAGGGGCAGGAAGGATAAAGGTCACTGTGTGAGGAAAACTTGGGGTAATAAGAAGGCTGGATTGTTCCTAGAGCATTAAGAATGATCATCTGATTAACATTAGGAATGCACAATGTATGATGTGCTGGAAAAAGAGCGGACAGGCAGGAAGAGGCTACATAAGATCTCAAAAGTCAAGGGAAGTATTTGGACTTGATGCAGTAAGAGAAGGTAAATCATGCTTTTAAAAAGTTGTGAAAACTTTAACATCCTGGGTGCACACCTCCTAAGAAACACTAGTGTATTTGCTCACCCAGCCCTGGAATTTCTCCTCAAGTACTGTTTCCTAATTCCATCTCCACTATTTTGTTTTTTGCATGTCTACACCCAGGCCTGACCTCGTGGAACCTTAATTTCAGCAGAGTCAAGATTAAAAAGAATTGCTCAAAATCACAGCCCTGAACAAAACTGTGTTGTATGGTCCCTTCACAAAGCCACTGAGCACACTGCTAATGGGCATTAAATCCCCTCACACTTCACAGCTTAGCCTGTAATGAATCAACATCCTAGTGATAGGCTGTCCCTTGAGAAAATAAGCATCTTTTTAATGCGAGAAATATCTGTGCTCAATCACTGAAATTGTCTTCCTTTGATAATAAAACTGAATGGCAAAGTATCCAAGTTTTTTCTGGGTGAAATAAAAACGCAGAGTCTCCTGTTTCACTGAAATACACCTACTAAGTATACAGTCAGTCACAGCAGCGTTAATCGGGGCACTTCTCTCCCGCACTTCCCTGCCCCGGCACCGAAGGCGCGGCCCTTTGCACAGGCGTCCCACCTGTGGGCTCGGGCGCAAACAGGCTTTGTGCTTTCGGGCAAACATCTTACTCACAGAGCGGGAGGTCCTGTACGGGACCCAGGCGCTTGGTGTGCGCCGCGGGGCGGCCTTGGCGCACGCCCACCCGCCCGCCTCGGACAAGCACACAGGCACCCGGCTCCGCGACGCGGGCTGCGGCCAGGGAAGCCCCGCCGCCCGGGCGCACGCACCTGACCAGCGGCTCCTTCTCGGGCGCGGCGGGCTCCTCCAGGCACTGGCACGGGCAGCAGCCGCACGCGGTCCTCAGCCAGCGCCTCGGCCCCATGGAGAGCGAGGGGCCCCGCCGGCGCCTGGCGGCTCTGAGGAAGCCGCGGCGACGAGCGAGCGCGGCGGGGCGCGGCCGGCAGCCTGGCGTCCAGGCGCGGGGACAGTCGCGGCCCCGGCGTCGCGGGCCGGTCCGTGCGCATCACTCCGCGGCCGGGGACGCGGGCGAGGCCGGAGGCGCCTCCACGGCCCCGGGGCTGCACAGTCACACGCTCGCCTCCGCTTGGGTTTGGCTTGGGGCTCGTGTTTTCGTGGGGCTTTTTTTCTCTCTAATTCCCCGGGCGCAAATTGGGGCGCATGCGTCCCCGAGACGCTCCGCTGCTGCCCTCTAAGAAGGAAGCAGGAACTCCAGCCAGACTGCAGAATCCGAGGGCACAGCGAGCGACCGGGCGGGGGCAGGAGGGGAAAGCCCTCGAGGCACAGAGCACGAGGTGGAGCCCAATCTATGCGTGCGTTTCCTTGGCTTCACTTCCTGAGGAACTGAGCGGTCCGCCTCCCCACCCCCGTGCCCTCGAAGCAGAGTTTAGCGCATATTTGTAACATGTCAGCCCCACACAGAGGAAAAGTTAGCAGAAGAGTATGGATTGACGCATTGTAGAGGTGGGGGTTTTTTAAGTACTGTATTCACAACGGTTTTTTTAAACTGCTTTCAAGCCTTCCAGGGTTTGAATAATCCCCTCAAGAAAGGCAAGCACTACCATTAGTGCTGTTTATGGGTTTATTTATGGATGAATGCCTGTATTTATTTATGCCTGTACAACTTGTAAGTACATGTACGCATATCCACCATCGCTTTTACCCAAACAATAGCAGAGTCCACACATTGCTGTCCCTGGCTTGTTCTACGATACATGTGATCTTCCTCCATTAGGGTACCAGCCGCATGTTATGCTGTCAGATGGATGCCCATCATTTTTTGAACTAGACCCCTACTGACAGACAATTAAGTTCACCCCAGCCCTTCGTTATTAAAATAATGCTGCAGTGAACATTCTTGAACTATGTGTTTGGACACTAGTGAGTAAATGTTTGGCAGTAAAATGTTGGATCATAGGTAAGATCTCTTTTAAAGTTTGGGTAGATCTTACCAAATGCCCTCCAAAGATGCAATCCTATTTACACCCTGCCCTGCAACATATGAACCTATCTATTTCTTTGTAACCCCACCAATACCAGGAACCCTGTAATTTTTCATCTTTGTCAATCGATTTATTCAACAAATACTAAGCATTTGTTCTGTGGCAGACATGTGCTAGGCACTGGGGTTACAGCAGTGAACAAAAGAAACAGAAATCCCTGCCTCTTGGAGCAAACATTCTAGCAGGGGAGTTAAACACTGGATATTATTTAGTGTTTTAGACGGTTATGTGTACTATGGAGAAGTAAGGCAGAAAAGAGGGTAACTGCAAGGGAGGTGTGTGTGTGTGTGTGTGTGTGCATGCTGAGGGAGGGGTAATGCCTAAAATTTTAAATAGCATGGTTAGGGAAGTCTCCTGATATGGTGACATTTAAACAAAGACATGAAGGAGATGAGCAAGAGAGCCATAATATCAAGGGGAAGAGCACTTCAGGGATGGTGAAGACTGCATACAAAAACCCCAGATGAGAGAGAATAAAATACAGGGTGCCTGACAAAGAGCATGGAATCCAGTGGCCCTAGAGAAGTGTGGGCCAAGACAATGAGTAGTAATAGCAAATGATGGAATATGGGACCCTGTAGGTCGTTGCAAGGACTGGATTTAGTTCCATGCGAACTGAGCAAACCTTTGGAAGTTTTTGAGTAGTGGGAGAGACATGGTCTACCTACTTAGCAATAGGGGCCGCTGGCTACTGTCTTAAGAAACTGGGTGCCAAAGGCTATTTCAGGGAGAAGCAAATGGTGGCCATTCTAATGATTCAAGTGACAGCTGACAGTGGTTTGGACCAGAGAGGTGACAGAAAAGGTGGTAAGAAATGGTTGGGGTCTGGATGGAATTTGAAGGTAGGGCCAACAACAGTTGCTAAAGGATTGAAAGGAGGGTGTGAAAAGAAGAACAGTGACTGCCAGGTTTGGGGTTTACAAGCTGTGAAGGTTGAATTGCCATAGGTTGAGGCAGAGTGTGGGAGGGGCAGGTTTGGAGAGGTGAGGTGGAAGAGCAAGAGGTTATTTATAGAAGTGTCAGTTCTCCTGGGCCCTGGAAGAATTTGAAAAGTATGTTACTACACACAAGTTTGTCCTGTTCTGGCTACATTACAAGGCTGAAAGAACTTAACAAGTGCATATTCATTGAGAAGCTGGCAAATGGGGGTAAGGAAAATTGGAGTCCTTGAGGACTCTTAGCTGGGGAGATGGGCTATGGGCCCAGTGTAACAAGTTGACATGACAGAGTACCAGCTGTCACCAGGCAGCACAGGGCTGTGGTATCAAGCCCAGCACCATGTTGTTTATCACTTGCAGCTGTGCCAGGTTGAAGGCTGAGTCGCTTTTGACAGTAAATTTCCTGCTGGCTGGAAAATCCCCTTAGTAGAATGCACTAGTTTCTAAAATTGGATTTTGGATTTGAGTCAATCTACCTAGGTTTAGGTACAGTGAGTAGAGGGGGCTACCAACATGTGAACTCAGCCTCCAAGAAGATGAAATCTAGGGTCTGGCAGCTACTATTAAGTGCTGGAGTTGGATTTGTTGAGAATGGAGAAATTAGAGAAGGCATTCAGATCCTGGTAAATAGAGATGCTCTACTCTTTTACTAACTTTGATCTTAGAAAAGTTAATTTTTCTAAACCTCAATTTTCTAATCTGTGAAATGGAGATGATGAATCTGACTGTACCTATTAGGCACAATTAATTGTGAGATTCAAATGAGATAGTTAGAAAATGATAAAGCACTATGGAAATACCAGAATTCATTATTAAACTACCCAAATAATATAGGCCTGTTAGGCAAATGTCAGTTCTGCTACTACTTAGCTTACATATGACCATATTTCTTCTCACATTTGTACCTCTGAAATGTTTGTGCATCTTTTATGTAGTCTGTTTCAGACAGAATATTTCTTGAAAGCCAGAGAACCATTTCTATTTAAAACATTGATCAGGAGGTTAATGCCCTGCCTTACCAAGGATCATGGATAGTGTTTGCCTGCTCTAGCAATTATTAACAGTTCTAAATTTTTAAACATATAAATGAAACATTCCACTTAAAAAAAACAAAATATTACGAAATGTTACAGATCCCTCTGACCATGATCCACAGTCCTGTCCCCTTTCTACCCTCCCCAAGGTATTGTTATCAGTATGGTACAAACATTTCTTCCGACACACATACATATATGTGTTCCTGTGATACATATATTACATCACTGTGTGTGTTATTTTTTGGTAGTGAGTTTTGTATTAATATAAAAGGTATGCATTCATCAGTCTGCAAGCTTTTTCCACTTAATAATATGCCTTGGAGATCTATCCTTATTAGTACACATAATATTCTTTTTAATTGATGTACTTTCTATTTTAGTTTTCTAAGGATTGTTATATCTGTGTTTTCATAGTGCTTATCTTTGCAGAAGTTAAATACCTTCATGATGTCCAAGTTTTAGTAACCTGGACCTTTGGTAGGAATAAAAATGCTATGAAGCCCTCCAGCTTCAGCTTCTAGGTAGCTGAGACCACATTTTGACAAGCCATTTCCTGTTTCAGGCTTTCCTCATTTGAGAGTGATGCCTGATTGTTCCTACTGTGTGAGCTGACATGAGTGCCAGCAACATCTGACATTTCCCAAGAGCCCTGGGCACCTGGTGTCAGGGGAGTAGGCAGTCCTCTGGGGCAACTGGTGACTCACAAACCCATCACCACTTGTTTTCAAGTTAGAACTGCTGGCCTATTTTTTCAGATTACTCCATGGTAGGGAAAACTTGAGTCTGATCTGAAAACAATGAGTGCAGTCTGAAGTCCTCTTTAAGAATTTACTGATAACTTCTGAGAGTGGAAGGAGAGGCATATACAGGAAAAATGAGAAAATCAAAATATTTAAGTTCCCACCCCACATCATTAGCAGTGAGGTGGAAGAGCAAGAGGTTATTTATAGAAGTGTCAGTTCTCCTGGGCCCTGGAAGAATTTGAAAAGTATGTTACTACACACAAGTTTGTCCTGTTCTGGCTACATTACAAGGCTGAAAGAACTTAACAAGTGTATATTCATTGAGAAGCTGGCAAATGGGGGTAAGGAAAATTGGAGTCCTTGAGGACTCTTAGCTGGGGAGATGGGCTATGGGCCCAGTGTAACAAGTTGACATGACAGAGTACCAGCTGTCACCAGGCAGCACAGGGCTGTGGTATCAAGCCCAGCACCATGTTGTTTATCACTTGCAGCTGTGCCAGGTTGAAGGCTGAGTCGCTTTTGACAGTAAATTTCCTGCTGGCTGGAAAATCCCCTTAGTAGAATGCACTAGTTTCTAAAATTGGATTTTGGATTTGAGTCAATCTACCTAGGTTTAGGTACAGTGAGTAGAGGGGGCTACCAACATGTGAACTCAGCCTCCAAGAAGATGAAATCTAGGGTCTGGCAGCTACTATTAAGTGCTGGAGTTGGATTTGTTGAGAATGGAGAAATTAGAGAAGGCATTCAGATCCTGGTAAATAGAGATGCTCTACTCTTTTACTAACTTTGATCTTAGAAAAGTTAATTTTTCTAAATCTCAATTTTCTAATCTGTGAAATGGAGATGATGAATCTGACTGTACCTATTAGACACAATTAATTGTGAGATTCAAATGAGATAGTTAGAAAATGATAAAGCACTATGGAAATACCAGAATTCATTATTAAACTACCCAAATAATATAGGCCTGTTAGGCAAATGTCAGTTCTGCTACTACTTAGCTTACATATGACCATATTTCTTCTCACATTTGTACCTCTGAAATGTTTGTGCATCTTTTATGTAGTCTGTTTCAGACAGAATATTTCTTGAAAGCCAGAGAACCATTTCTATTTAAAACATTGATCAGGAGGTTAATGCCCTGCCTTACCAAGGATCATGGATAGTGTTTGCCTGCTCTAGCAATTATTAACAGTTCTAAATTTTTAAACATATAAATGAAACATTCCACTTAAAAAAAACAAAATATTACGAAATGTTACAGATCCCTCTGACCATGATCCACAGTCCTGTCCCCTTTCTACCCTCCCCAAGGTATTGTTATCAGTATGGTACAAACATTTCTTCCGACACACATACATATATGTGTTCCTGTGATACATATATTACATCACTGTGTGTGTTATTTTTTGGTAGTGAGTTTTGTATTAATATAAAAGGTATGCATTCATCGGTCTGCAAGCTTTTTCCACTTAATAATATGCCTTGGAGATC